TTACTTACTTACTTACTTACTTACTTACTTACTTACTTACTTACTTACTTACTTACTTACTTACTTACTTACTTACTTACTTACTTACTTACTTACTTACTTACTTACTTACTTACTTACTTACTTACTTACTTACTTACTTACTTACTTACTTACTTACTTACTTACTTACTTACTTACTTACTTACTTACTTACTTACTTACTTACTTACTTACTTACTTACTTACTTACTTACTTACTTACTTACTTACTTACTTACTTACTTACTTACTTACTTACTTACTTACTTACTTACTTACTTACTTACTTACTTACTTACTTACTTACGTCTGTTAACCCTAATGGAGCGTAAACCGTATAGGTCACCATTCTCCAATCTACCCTATCCTGAACTTTCCTTTCTAGTTTTATTCAATTTTTGTTAATTTTTCTCATGTCTGTCTCCATTTCTCGGCGTGATGTGTTCTTTGGTTTTCATCTTCCCCTTTCGACTTGAGGATTCCATGTGAGGGCTTGAAAAGGAGGAAGAAGAGTTCTACCAGTCTGTTATAAATATTTTTGTTTTCAGTTTTGTTTCTTGTCAATTTGTATTTTTGTCCATTTTACTCAATATCACTTAATAATACAGGTTAGTTTTTGATAAGAAGTTAATTACAGAATTATATGATTCATGATTTACTTAAAAGTATACAACATATCGATGTTCAAACAGTTAGGAAGCGATAGATTTGTTACAACACCGAAAAAAAACTATTTCATAATCTGGCTATTTATTTTAACACATAAACATAGGTACAAGAAAGCATTAAATAGATATGCACCACTTAGGTCATTTGATTTGTGTGTGAACTGTGATACTACCTGGGTGTCCAAACCGAAACAGGCGGTTTTCTTAGAGGGCCACATGCGGAAACTTCGACCTAAAGGTCTGATCTACAAGGCAATGGAGAATTGTACGGAGACGCAGTCTCATGGTAGCCGGTGACCAACAATTGCTTCATGCGCCAATTTTTCCTTTGGGATACTGGAGCTCATTTATACAATCGGTTTGAAATCAGGGTTTTCCAACTACTCTAGGTGAACTCACTGTGTTCACCGACCCGGTTAAAGCGCCGGACATTCGCTTTTCATCCTCTCGATTTCGTTAACAACAGTAGTGTCACGAGAAGGTAGTGAGTAGGATTTTCCTGGTAATGGTTGTATGCATGTGGCTATGTGAGAGCATTTCGAAACAGAGAGTTGATTCTCCCCACTCTCGGCCGTACCAGGGCATTCGGGGGCTAATTCGGTTGTAAATGTGCTGCACTTGCTTTGCCGATCCGCGCCTTATTCATTTATAATGAATACTAATGTTACAGGAGTAAACAATTAACAACTTCTTATATTTTAGGGCTTCACTTTTTATCTGAATATTTATATCATACATAGAAAGTATAAAGATGATAGTTTTATCCAGTGATAATACTGGCAAATTTTTAGAGTGCTTCAAGTACCTTAAATGTCTATGAACCCTATTTATATATGGATTCAGTTATATCATTTGAATCAACTTTATTTATTTAGGTATTTTAAACCACATTTATTAGTTTCTATGAACTGATATTTTACAAGTTGAAATACTTATGTTGGATTCCATTAATAGATGGTATTGATAAATGATAGTGTTTTCTTATTAAAGATCTCATAAATTATAAATAGGTTAATAATATGCTTCTAGGTTTTCCATGATGATCTAGCTTCAATTGACACATGATCTCAACTATTGAAATTACTACAATCTCTACAAAACCCCTTCTAATACTAATAATGTGAACACTAATACTATCACTCATAAGAATGATTCAGTCAGTCAGTCAGTAAGTAACAACGTAGAACTTCGTATGTACGTACATCAGTTCGAGTTGTCACACCACATTAGCACAGAGATGCAGTTATCGACTCAAATCCCATAGTTGTAGAGGTAGTAAAAGTATAAGTAGTAATCGGAAAGATTAGGGTTTGAAGATGTTGTTTAAGGAGTATAATCGAGTGAAATAAATTTGTAAAAAGAAACAAAGGAACAGAAAGAGTCCAGGAGATTATAATTTGTGGCAACACAAAGAGTGGATGCATGTGCGCCATTGTAAACGAATTTGAGTCATGTCATTCAGGGTCTCTAACCATCGGTTGTTATCGTCTCGCGGATCCCAACCAAGTAGTCTACACCTACCATTATGGATCACACAGTCCACTATTCAATGACTTCATTGATATGTGCTATGTTTTGGTTAGGCCATAAGAATGGTTAGTATGCTGGGTTATTTTTTTTAATTTTTAGCATAAACAAAACGTACCACAAATGAACAAAATAAGAACAGAAATCCAATTTTTTATTATTACGTGACACCTTGCAAAAAGTGATTAGTATTATAAACACATTTTTTCATCAATAAGATGGACAAATTCATTCACATCAGAAGGGGTTTTTGTGGAGATTTTAGGAATTTCAATAGTTGAGATCATGAGTCAATTGAAACTAAACCATCATGGAAGACCTGAAAGCAATGGACGGCCGTTTCGTCCTAGCGTGGGTCTCCTCACCGGTGTGCATCTACGATCCAGCCCTCTGCGACATTCGAACCCACGATCTATCAGTCTCGCGCGCGCGAGCGCTTAACCAGTAGACCACTGAGCAGTCATCCGATGATGTTGATGTCTAACTTCAAGTAATCCACGAAAATGAGCGACACACCCACAATTGTGGATGCACACTGTTGAGAAGTCCCACAATAGGATGAAATGGTCATTCAGTGCTTCCATGTGGTCTAGCTTCAATTGACTCATGATCTCAACCATTTAATTAATGATGAATAGTTAGAGGATAAATGAATAACATAACACAATGTTCACTTGTTTCATGAATATTTATCATCTGAATATTTTTACTCGATATTCGCTCGACAATTAAAGGGATGAGAGCGAAAGAGAGAGAACGAGTGTGAGAGGAAAAAAGCAGCTGTTCAGCTAATTAGTACAGTTTACTAGAAAAAGGAATATCATTACACAAATTCAGTATATCTCCAAGTGTATGTTTGTTTGTTTGTTTATGTGTGTGTGTGTGTGTGCGTGAAAGGTTTTTGGGTTGTTTACAATAAGCTTTTTCTTCTATTTCTTGTGCAAAGAGAAACGAACAAAATAAATTGAAACAACAAACTGTAGCACAAAATTTCATTTCAAAAAAAAAAGAAAAAGAAAAAAACGAAAAGAAAAATAAAGAAAAAAAGCAAAGAAGAAGAAGAAGTTCCGCTTAATTTTGTTTACATAAACATTCAATTAATCTGAGAATGATAAATTTGTGGACATTGTAAGATTTTTAACTGATGTAGGTAATTTGATCAGTTATATTGAATTGATTGATAGATGGACGGATGGTTGGATAGATGGATGGATGGATGGATGGATGAATGCATGGTTGGTTGGTTGGATGAATGAATATTGGAATTCAGGCTTAAAGAATCTAATAGATACATCTGTATATGTGCATACTTATTAAGACTGATTTCTATCAATAATCTGAAATTATAATTGGGAAAATTGGTTAAAATCTAAATAAACCATTGAATAGTAGAAAATAAAAACCAATTTTCATGCCTGTATTGTAATGTATAATTAAGCGTAAATTGGCATTGAATATTGAATTTGCAAAACAAACAAACAAACAAAGAAACAAAAATACTTATATTGTCAGAAGAGGTTTTGTGAAGATTTTAGTAATGTCAATAGTTGAGATCATAAGTTAATTGAAGCCAGACTACAATGGAAAACCTGGAAGCACTGGACGGCCATTTCGCGGGGGGATCGTGGATGCACACTGCTGAGGAGTCCCATACAAGGACGAAACGGCTGCCCAATGCTTCCAGGTTTTCTATGGTGGTTTGGCTTTAATTAACTCATGATTTCAACTATTGAAACTTATATTGACTAATGGATTCTTTCTCATTAGTAGAAAATTGTTATCATTGTTGTTGGAAAACATTACTGATAAATAATTGGGTGCATATTGAGTATCCTATCAGGTAATCGAACTCATGACTTCCATGTCTGACGGTTAGATCTGTGTTTTCTTGACTTCCAACTGAGGTTATACGGTAGTTCAATATTAGAATTTAAATAGTTGTTCATTGATTTGTGGTTATTTTAAGGGTTATCTAACTATGGTCAGTCCATGATGTGTAACTTAATGTTTCATATATAGATATTTAAGTAAACAACTTACTACTTACCTAATTCAATTATCCTCCATTGTGAAACATTTGATTCAAACTGGTTATAAGGTTGACATCAAATCAGTATTTGTGGTGTTATACAAAAGCCTTCAAGAACGTATACTGAGGTTCATTGAAGCCTTGCTTATAGAGAAACTGAAACCCCGTTTGTGCGTCCAAAAACAATTTGTCCTTACGCTTAACCTACCCTAGTAATACAGATTTATTATCCAGAGTGGTTATCACATTGTCTTTGTGCACTTTATTATTATTTCTTACCTTTAACCTGTCTAGTTGTCTTTTTAATTCACATATAAAAGATGTCTTAACAAGTATATTAGGTGTGAACAGATTGTTCGAAATGTATTGCGCAAATATATCACACAGTTCTGACAAAACTTCTAGATTTTTGAACACATACGATAGTGAACAAGAAAACGAGTGGGGGCAGTCAGTAAAATCTGAGAACAATGCAGTAAATACTTCATTTGCAAAATATCAATCCATTGTCTCAAACTTGACTGTTTTTGTTTTGAAAATCTCAGTTCATCGTCTCAGATTTCATTGTTTTTGCATTTCATATCAATTGCTTTCTGTTCCCATTCTTTCCTTCTCGACCTTCTACTGAAATCCATTCTATTCTTGACTATCGTTATATACTACTTATGTGTATATGAGTAGCACTTGCCACAATACAAGTAACATGAACAAAAAATCAATATTATTTGTAAGTATTAGCTAGTTATCAGAGTAAAATGCTCAGCGACACTACTACTACTAGTACTAGTACTCCTCCTCCTCCTCCTCCTCCTCCTCCTCCTCCTCCTACTACTACTACTACTACTACTACTACTACTACTACTACTACTACTACTACTACTACTACTACTACTACTACTACTACTACTACTACTACTACTACTACTACTACTACTACTACTACTACTACTACTACTACTACTACTACTACTACTACTACTACTACTACTACTACTACTACTACTACTACTACTACTACTACTACTACTACTACTACTACTACTACTACTACTACTACTACTACTACTACTACTACTACTACTACTACTACTACTACTACTACTACTACTACTACTACTACTACTACTACTACTACTACTACTACTACTACTACTACTACTACTACTACTACTACTACTACTACTACTACTACTACTACTACTACTACTACTACTACTACTACTACTACTACTACTACTACTACTACTACTACTACTACTACTACTACTACTACTACTACTACTACTACTACTACTACTACTACTACTACTACTACTACTACTACTACTACTACTACTACTACTACTACTACTACTACTACTACTACTACTACTACTACTACTACTACTACTACTACTACTACTACTACTACTACTACTACTACTACTACTACTACTACTACTACTACTACTACTACTACTACTACTACTACTACTACTACTACTACTACTACTACTACTACTACTACTACTACTACTACTACTACTACTACTACTACTACTACTACTACTACTACTACTACTACTACTACTACTACTACTACTACTACTACTACAAATAATAATAATAATTGGAATAATAGATTGTAATATCATAGTTGCGTACAATTGGTGTTTTTTGATTATTTCAGGAAGGGAGAAAGAGCGAGAGCGAGATAGAGAGAAGGAGAGATGACGACAATAAAAGCAAACATAAAAGCAATTTATTCATCGTTTTATGACGATGATGATCATGATGAAACATGTACAGATCGATTAGAGATGACAAAGATATTTAGTAGATTATGACATTTTGAATTATGTTTTGTATAGTTGACATGTGTCGATAGATGAATTGTGTATACATATGTACATGAATCTAGATATGTAGACGACTATTGTTTTTCAAATTTGTCTATATCTGTTGATGTATATTTCTATGAATGTATTTTTCAGTTTGTATTGTTAGAAATAGTAGAGTGATATATTCAACTTATGTCGACTGATATAAATAGTATGTACTTACTTACTTACGTACTCCCAATAGAGCATAGGCCGATGACCAGCATTTTTCAACCCAATCTGTCCCACTCTGCCTTCCTTTCTAGTTCTATCCAATTTTTTGTTCATTTTTCTCATATCTGTCTCCATTTCCCAAAGTAATGTGTTCTTTGGTCTTCCTATTCGCCTCATTTGGCCTTGAGGAATCCATGTGAGGCCTTGCCTTGTGACACAGTTGAGTGCTTTCCTCAATATGTGTCCTATCCACTTCCAGTACTTCTTCTTAATTTCCTTCTCCACTGTAATCTGGTTTGTTCTGGTTTGTCCCACAGTAGGTTGTTGCTGATAGTGTCTGGCAAACGGATCCGAAGTATTTTGTATGGAAAACTGTGAATAAACAGTTATATCTTCTGGATGATGGCTTTCATAGTTAGTCAGATTCCCGCCCCATACATTTATATTGAAAATTCTCACCTTAGTGTTGGCTTGTGTACAGTTGTTTTGAATTTTAGATATTTTGCAGTTGTAAATGTAGTATGCAACACTAATCAAAGGTGGAATGCCTGAAAACAGAAGGTCAGGAAGGTTGAATTAAAGAGAATGAGAACAAAGAGTACTTGTTATGGAGGATTTCTAAATGAAATATTGAATGTATAGTTTTCTTATTTTACCAAAGAACTCAGTAATTTTATGTTAAAATAAGAATAGTAGTCTCCACCAGTGTTCTTGTTCACGACAGCAGTAGTAGTACTAGTAGTATTGATAACAATAGTACAAACATATAAACAATCTTTTAGTGTACATGATGAATGTATTCATCTTCATGTATAATTTTATTATACTGTTACTAGACAATGTCAATACAGAGAAATATGCATCTGTTCATATACATGGACAGATAAAGAAAAGAATATTGATCTCTCAATAATCCAATTAGTTGAACGCCATAAATGAACTAACTTTTAGTGGAGACAACCCCCTCCCGCCCACATATACAGGAGAAATAAATGATGACATCATTGTATTATTTAATAGTCATGACGATATCCATCAGAAAATATTTCTGGTTCTTTGGTTTTCCACTACGATAACAGCTATTAATTATCACTCAGTCACTCAATTACACACATACACTCTCTCTGTGTGTATCTGATTGTTACTTCATTCATTCATGATTTACCTATACTGAAACTGACAATAGATACCACTTAATTTCTTCTTGGCAAAAGAGAAAGAAAGAAAGAATGAAGAAAAACTCATTTATATCAATATTCTTCCTGTTGAATAAAAATGAAATTTATCATTCATCAGTCAATTGGGACATTCTCAGTTTATTTGTTACGTTTTACAATCTGTCCATCAATTCCTAAAACTATTAAACCAATAGAGTATTATGATACAATAAACAACTGAATTGTGGAAAGTCATTGTGTGTGTGTGTGTGTTTCTTTGTTTGATTGTTTGATTGTTTCACTATCATAGTTACAATTTAAAAACAGTTGGATTTATGATGAATAAGAAGTTTCGTCTAAATTTTGATTGAATATTTTGGGGGCTGTGAATTGATTTGATCCTTGAAAAAGTTTTAGACTAGATTGTTAGCCAAAATGTTGGATTTACTTCAAATTGTTTCGCTGAGATTTCACAAATACAATATTCTTTCTATTTTAGTGAGATGATATGAAGGAAATATTGATTGTTATCAGAAAGTGGTTTTGTGGAGATTTTAGAAATTTCACTGGTTGAAATCATGAGTCAATTGAAGCTAGACAACTATGGTAAAAACCTGGAAGCATTGGACGTCCGTTTCGTCCCAGTATGGGACTCCTCAGCGGTGCGCATTCACGATACCGCACCCCGCGAGATTCGAACACAGGACCTGTCAGTCTCGCGCCAGGCGCTTAACCAACTATACCACTGAGCAGGCATCCGGTCTAGTTAATTAAGCGCCTGACGTGAGACTGATAGGTCCTGGGTTCGAACCTCGCACTAGGCGGGATCGTGGATGCGCACTGCTGAGGAGTACAGCAATAGGATGGAACGGCCGTCCAGTGCATCCAGGTTTTCCATGGTTGTCTAGCTTGAATTGACTCATGATTTCAACCAGTGAAATATTGATTGATTGAATTATATAGCTGAAGATGTTAGTTGTTTATTTTTTCATAGGGTTTTGATGAAATTACTGTGATAATTAAGAATTTCTACATTAATTATTTGTTTTTAATTGAGATCATGAATCGATTGATGTTAGATCACCATTGAAAACTTGGAAGAAGTGGATGGCCGTTTTGTCTTATTGTGGGACTCGTCAGCAATGCGTATCCACGATTCCGCTTGCGGGAATCGAACTCAAAGCCTTCAGTACTGTGTGTGAACGCGGTTATCAACCGTCCAGTGCTTCCGGGTTTTCAATGGTGGTCTAACATCAATCACATAATGACCTCAATCAAAAACTTAACCATCTTCCCAACCCCATACTGTTAATAGTTGTTGTTTCATTGATTTGTTCAAGGGCGATAAAATGTCCATAACTTATAGGGATTAGATAGTAACTCCTATTCAGAAAAATGGATTTATATTGGTAACATTCTCAAGTGATCGAAGAGATTTGTTGCTCAGATAACTGGGTTTCGATGATGTTATGTTTGTTGGGTTGATTGATGAAACTACTGTGATCTGATGATGTTTTTGAAATTAATGCCATTAGAGAGTGCTACATAACCAGAAAAGTAATCGATATTTGATTTAGAAAATTAAATGATTAAGTTTCGAATACATTGAACCTTACAACTTGGTTTGTAATGGTAGCTGTAGTGATGATTAAAGAGTTAGATTAAGGTTAGTTGGTCACTGAATAATTTTTGTGGCGTGTGCTACTTATATCGACATAAGTAGTGTATAACGCTAGTCAGGAATAAAAAGTCTAGCAGCAGCTGAATGTCCGTCAAGAGAATCCTCAGCAGTGAGCGTATACGATCCTGCTTGCGGGATTTGAATCCAGGACGTTCGGTCTCGTGGGCGAACACTTAACTTCTAGACCATTGTCTTTCCTATTTGTTTAGTTTATTACAACAAAATCAAGGAGACAGATTCATTAAAATCATTAGATTGATAGACTCACTATGAAATAAATCATCTGAGTAACAGTAGTCACTTGACTAATCATGATATAAATCTAATTATCTTATATGAAAAAAGTCTGAAAAGTTTAAATATTCACTAAACATCATCTCTAGTTACGGTTATTCATAGTTAATTTATGGTTGGGATACGATAAAGATTGGAAGTAGGTAGTAATTTTTTCTTATTATACTATAGACTCATTAATTAAATCACCATAAATAAGATTGTACAGATTAATTAAACGATATAGTCAAAAAAAAAGATTTCTCCGCTTAATTACCCCCCTCTGTCAATGTCTCTCTCTCTCTCCGAACCTTTCGCAATACACTTATTCATAAGGGCATATATAAAAATTCAAAACAAACCAGTGGAGCTAATCCGTGTCGAATAGAGACTGGTATCTACCTTAGTACAATGGATGGTGGTCTCACAATTTCGTGGATTGGTTGAGGTTAGACATTAACACTATTTGTTGCCAGCTTAGTGGTCCAGTAGGTTAAGCGTTCACGAGCGAGACCGATAAGTCCTACGTTCGAATCTCATGTGGTGGGATCATGGATACACACTGCTGAAGAGTCCTACAATAGGACGAAACGGCTGTCCAGTGCTTCGAGGTTTTCCATAGTGCTCTAGCTTCAATCGATTCATGATTTTAACTATTTAAAAATAATTTGGGTTGATCATTAAAGTTATTTATAAACAGTGTAGAAAAGTACACCCACTTTTTTTACTGATACCACACACACACACACTTTGAAATCAGTAAAAACTTAGATGTTTTAAACTTATCTACGTGGCAAGTCATGATCAACAAGAATGCAATGAGGTTAAGTTACTTATTGTTAGGTACTTAATAATGAAGCATTTTAAAGTAATGATATTCCCATAGAATTCAATTCCATGTTTAGTTATGAATTCTATTAGATTTTCTTCTAGTCAGTACCAACATCATGATGTCATTCGTTTGGTACTGGATAATTGAGGGATATCAAAGAGAAAATGTCACTTTCTTCAGGGTGTTTGAGATATTTCATGACAATAAGTGCTAACTTCCATATAAACTTACTCCTGGATATTGTTATAACTTATGCCCAGTCCTGTTAATGTAGAACGTAATGATAATGAGAACTAAAGAACAATGAATTATCGATCGGTCCAATGACGCATAAAACAAGTACGAGCAGTCTAGAGTACTTATCGGTCCTGCTTGCCGCCTAGCCCAGCCTGTTAAGTTCAGAACAGCGAATCCGAGCCTCTGCGATATGAATCATTTATTTCAAACATACGGGGTTTATATACCAACCAAATAGACCACATCGTACCATAAAATAGAAAATAACGTTTGTACAAGATCTAGTCAAAAGTTGCTGTGAATGTGAGAGACTGTAATTAATAGATTGGGCATAACTCAATAATAGTTTATAGGACAAAATAAAGCTTATAATAAGAGGAACATGAATATGAATAGTTTAGTTATTTAACGTTTATACAATAAAAATATACGTATAGTTTTGGTCCATAAATGGATCCCAAAATCTACCATTCATTATTCACATCGTGATATAACAGTTCTACCTGAAGTTTCTGCTGATGATGTCGTTTCGAAGAAAGCTGAAAAGCTCCACAACTAAACCATTCAGCTCAGAGAACAAAGCTCCACCAAAATCATTCAACTAATATACAAATCTTCTCCATTATTCTCATCAAGATATAACATTCCATAAATATATATACATTTTCATGGATATTGATCAGTAAAATAGTTTTATATTTTATCATTTCATGACAACAAGTGCCAACTTCCAATATAAACTTACTCTCGGATATCTATTCGATTGTTTTCAAATACATTACATCAAGATATTGATTCGATGTTGACTACAGAGAACTGAACACTGACTGATTCAACTAACATTCACTTGTCATATTTATATCTTACATTTGAGACTGTAGCATCAGTTTTTTTTACAAATTCTATAGTATATTTAATACCAGATATGAGCATAAATTAGTATCCAGTTCTGAAACCACTACAATCTCCACAAAAACCCTTCTGATACTAATCAACATATGCTCACTAGTGACTGACTTCAAGAGATATATCCTGGAGTTCTCGTGTGAAGCAGTGACCAGTGGAATTCATCCGGGTCAGTTGTGAGGTAGTAACTCACTGATGACAACGGTGGATGTGTCGCTCAATTTCGTGGATTAGTTGAAGTTAGATATTAACACCGTTGGAAGCCGACTCAGCGATCTAGTTTGTTAAGTGCCTGACGCGAGACTGATAGGTCCTGTGTTGGAATCTCGCAGGGAGCGAGGTCGTGGACGCGCGCTGCTGAGGAGTCCCATAATAGGACGAAACAGTCGTCCAGTGCTTCCAGGTTTTCCATGATTATCTAGCTTCAATTCATGATCTCAACTCTTGAAATTACTACAACATCTACAAAACCTCTCCTGATACAAATTCTATAGTATATTTCATACTAGATATGTACATAAAGTAGTACCATTAACTATGTATACTATGCTTAGAAACAAGAATCTGACACTTTCAGATATTCGGGGCGTTTCCCCTTTTGAATAAAACTGGAAAAATTAATTTTTTTAAAAGTTTAAACTATTTCCCAGGTTATCTAGCTCTCTTTTATTATTATTATTATCATCAATGGAATCAGCTGTCTATCATTTTTATAATGAGATTGATAGTGAAACAATCTCACAATGATTAAATGAGTCTATCTCTTATATATATATATATATATATATATATATATATATATATATATATATATATATATATATATATATATATATATATATATATATATATATATATATATATATATATATATATATGTTAAATAGTTCTAGTAAAGAGTCATTTCAGGTATGGAATGAATGAAAACATAATACAAAATGTAATAAGGGTTACCATTCGAATCCTTGTCTCTTTTTATTCTGTAACATGTATGTATGTATGTATGTATGTGTTTGTGGCCATATGTGTGTGTACGTGTATATGTGTGTAAGTGTGATAAAATTACATTACAAAGTATCTATTTAGATTGCTACTTAATAGTCAAAGTAAACTGACTTAGAAACAGTGAATGATACATTCAATGCTTCAAGTCGCCATTATTCATTATCATTATTATTATTAGGTGTGGTTCATATACTACTCGGTAAACTCTTTATACCATTAGGTTTAAGATAGGATTGGCGACAAATTTCTAATCAATGATTGGCATCATTCTTTGAAATGGAAATGAATGTATGAATCTATTTTGTGCATGGAAATAATGAGAAGAATATCGCGCGTCAAATAAAATGAGGTGTGAAAAATACCGAAAAGACTTTATGAAGAAATAATCAGCTAGTTTTCTTATTATCATCTCTATAATGGTAATAAAAAGTATCTTTTTAAAAACAACAAAAATTAATCTTATTACTGAGATGATGGAGAAGATTTCTAGCTCAGATGGATGATTTTGGTGGAGTTTTGTTCTCTGAGCTGAAGTTTGTGCTGATGATGTCGTTCAGAAGAACGACGAAAGCTCCACGACCAAACCATCCAGCTCAGAGAACAAAACTCCACCAAAAAGAGAATATTTTGTTTTTGAAAAAGAAAATTCACTGGAATTCAAAGAAACATTTACTGACTTTGAAATGTCCTTTGTATTGTCTAGTTGAATCTTCCCACTATCCATCTTCTCTTATAATGCTTGTGATTTAAAGCAATATCGAGGCAATACACACAGTGTGCATATATGCCGATAAGAGACTGATCAATTACAGTCCTAAACATCGATGAGAATTTTCAAGTAAACAACAACAAGTGAGACATTAAAAAGAAGAATATATTTGTAAAGTCTCAGCGAATGAATTTTAAGTAAATCCAACGTTTCGCCTGGCTTTTTCAAGGAAAATATAATCAAACAACAAAATTATCGAATCTTTAATCAGGGAGAGGTTTTGTGGATAATATTGCGATTTAATAGTTGCATTCATGAGTCATTTGAAGCTAGACCATCATGGAAAACCTGGAAGCACTGGGTGACCGTTTCTTGCTAGTATGGGAGTCCTCAAAATTGCGAATCCACTACCCCACCTGTTGTGAGATAATAACTCACTGAAAACAATGGTGGATGTGTCGCTGAGTTTCGTGGTTTAGTTGAAGTTAAACATCAACACCTTTGGATTTCAGCTCAGTGGTTTAGAGTTTAGGCGTTCTCGCGCGAGACCAATAGGTTTTATGTTCGTATCTCGCGAGACGGGATCATATATACACAGTGCTGAGGAGTTCCATACTAAGACGAATCGGCTCTCCAGTAATTCCAAATTTTCAATGGTGGCCTAGCTTAGGTCGGTTCGTTAATCCAGCTGTGAAACTACTACCATCTTCACAAATCCCCTTACTATTACTATTACCAATACTACTACTACTACTACTACTACTACTACTACTACTACTACTACTACTACTACTACTACTACTACTACTACTACTACTACTACTACTACTACTACTACTACTACTACTACTACTACTGCTACTACTACTACTACTACTACTACTACTACTACTACTACTACTACTACTACTACTACTACTACTACTACTACTACTACTACTACTGCTACTACTACTGCCATTCCTAATAATAATCACAATCGGGAAAACAGTTATGAAAGTATACGTTGATCTATAAAGTTCTGATCATTACCAGTTTCGTTCAGTCATTTTCCTTACTTTACAATAAAAAAATACACACAGTCTTAAAAAAAGTAGTATCCATCATAATGGAATTATTTTTTGATTATCAAGACAGGAATGATAACGTAGTTTTATATTCTTATACTCATCTCTTTCACCCATCGCTTATTATTTTCTTCAGTTTAATCATCATATTTACAATATTCTCATATATATATATATATCATTGTTCATTGTTGTAATTCTACTCTCCCTTTATTCTGTTTTGTTATTGTTGTTCATGTTGGTGATGGTGGTGGTGGTGGTGTAAAATACTTTTAATTCCATCTACTTTCCTGTTTCCCTAACTTCTTCCTTCTTTTACCCGTATATATTATTATTATTATTATTATTATTATTATTATGAGTAGTAGTAGTAGTAGTAGTAGTAGTAGTAGTAGTAGTAGTAGTAGTAGTAGTAGTAGTAGTAGTAGTAATAGTAATAATAACATTGTTATTATGATTAAGACTACTTGACTCTTCTCAATTCTTTATACAATTTTCAAATATCATTGTTTTAACTGTTTCATTAGGGTATAAAAATTTATTTTGTCTCTTACCCCATAAAATTTCTTTGCTCAGATTGATTGGCATATGTAAAGGATATGTGTATGTATATGTACACACGTGTTTACACTTTTATTCAACTTATATTTGATGATGCATGAATAAGTGACAGATACTACTAACACTACTACTACTAGTAGTAGTAATGGTAGTAGGAGAAAATTATTTTTTCCATTTCACTGAATTTGCGTGTTTCTAATATGAATAATAATGGTAATCATAATAAAGACTTCTATATGTTTGATTGTGTTTTGTGGCTCAATATACAGTTCGTGCATTAACTTTCATGCATGGATGTTCATGGGTATGTAGTGTAAGTGTGTGTGTGTGATTGTATGTGAACTTACATATTAGATGGATAAGTTCTTAACGAAAACAAATGGATAGATGGTTAGATGGATAATGGCAAAGTTTATTAAGATTTATTGTAAGAAAATCAGATCAGGCATTTTTGTATTTAAGAAAAAGAAAATGAAATTCGAGTCAAAACATCATAATAATAATAACAACCGTAGTCGTAATAGGAGTAGTAAACAAGGTCAATAGGGAATGAGTCAAGACATTATCGAGAGAGATATTTGAACTGAAGTAAAGAATGGAACTCTGTTGTCGAATACAACGGATCGATAAGGAAAACTTTCACTAAGTCCGTATATTAAACTGATCTTACAAGGTTGTATAGAGCAGAGACACGAAGAATCAAATGAGGAAATAGGTGTATGCTACCAGTAGTGTAGTTGTTCTATTTCTAATCTGAGAACAAAATTTTCTTTTAGAACTAATGCTAATAGTAAGAGTATTGATAATAATCTATTTCGATCAACCAGTACAGATCCATTTACATAAACATATATTCATACATTGAGTTTAGTGATAGTTTAACATACTAAACTGACTGACCAAATGTGAGTGATTATCACGCAAATCAAATAAGGTTGAAATAGTATACCGCTCGATAACAACCCAATGGTTCTAAAGCTTAACAGCATGTCATGAGTTTTATGAGTGTCCACTATCGATTAGTTCCATAATATGTTCAACTAACTCGACCGTAGTACATAACTCGCTAAATACGATCAATCAGTGATGATTACCACCATCAGAACAAAATACTCGAGATGAAATCATCCTATATGATTGATGGTTTGATTCACTATTGTATCTATGGTACAACATATAATTCTCATCACCAAGTATTTCAACAAGTTTAAGGAACTGATAACTGCATGCATGCATACATATGAAAGTTAAATAAATAAACTACATGAAATTGAGTGAAATGTGTTTTAAGAAGATTCGGAACCTATACAAATCTTTTAAATAGAATACGAGTTGTTGACTAGATCAGCGGTAACAGGGTGTTCATCACAGTGTATATTTGTTAGATAATGTATCTAAGATGTGTTTATACTTTTGCTTATATGCATGAATTCTAATGTATATGTGCTTCGTTTTACCATGACGTTTGAAATGTAAAGTTATAGCTTCAAATTCGTCAGTGAACATCAACTATCGAATATAAGTTAATCATGCTGACCAACGCCAAATAAAATGGGATACATGTCCTGATTGTCACGCCTTGTCTATTCCATACAAACAAATAATTTACGGTTGTACATAAACCTCATATGCATCTGTTCATACTTAAATAAAATAGGGGAGATTGTGTGGAGATTGTATTATTTCCAACAGTTGAATTTCACGAATCAATCTAAACTAGACCACAATTGAAAACTTGAAAGCATCAGGTGAACGTTTTTACCTACTATAAAACTTCTCAGAAGTTCAGGATTCGAATCATGCATGCCGAATCATGGATATGCACTTTTGAAAAGTCCCATACTCCAGTACTTTTAATTTTTCAATGATGGTCTAGCTTATATCGACTGATGAATTTATTTGTCAAAAAAATTAACGATTTTTCGATTGAGATCATGAATTGATCGATATTAGATCACCATTGAAAACCTGCAAGTACTGGTCGGCACTTTCGTCCTGTTTTGAACTCCTCAGCAGTGCGCATCCATGATTCCGCTCAGGGAACTCGAACCCAGGGCCTTAAGTCTCACACGCAAACGATCAACCTCTAGACCACTGAGTTGGCATCCAACAGCGGAAATGTCTAACCTCAACCAATCCACAAAATTGTACGAACTTCTTCCATTGAAGTGAAGTAGATACCTGTCTCTACTCTACACGGATTAGTTCGAGACTGAAGGCCCTGTGTTCGAATCATGCGAACTCAATCGTGTATACGTACTGCTGAGGAGTCCCACAATAAGATTAAGCATCCATTCAATGCTTCTAGGTCTTCAAATGTTGTCAGTCAATTCATGATCTTAATCAAAAACTGAATCATCTCTACAACCCTATACTGATAATGATTTTTCACAAGATTTTGTTTCCTTTTTTTTTCAGGTAAATCAAGTATCAAAAACTAATAGAATTTACGATCAAATTATTTTACACTTACAAAAACAAACAAAAAAGATGTGGATTATTTTAATCTTGTTAACAATCAATTTTATACCTCAAAATATTGATTTTCTCTATGGTAACAATCATGATATCAAACAATCTAAATGGAATAGTAATAAAGAACAACAACAAATTCGTAACATTCATAATCTTTCTAATTATGTCATATTAAAGAATCAAAATATCGATTTGTTCAATTTCATTCAAAGAATTAAACGATCCAAATCAAACGATGTAAAAGATCTTCATACAATGGAGAATAATAAAGATTTGAATAACTCGAATAAGAATGATAAGAATGATCATTCTGATGATGTTAATCATAAGAATAATGATCCTATTCCAAATGTTATAGATAATAATGAACATTTAATCAATTCTAATAGTAAAGTGCCTAGTTCATCTAATTATCATCCATTAAGTTCTAATCAATTATTACATAATTCAATGGATCATGAAAAAGTACTTAGACCAGAGAAATGTATCCCAATTGAAATACCATTATGTAAAAATATTGGTTATAATTTAACTTACTTACCAAATGCATTTAATCATGAAACACAAGAAGAAGCTGGTTTAGAAGTATGTTTTATATATTTTCTATCATTAAAATTATTTTATTGTCTCATAATTGAAGATAGACACGCCAGCAGTGCGCATCCACGATCCCGTCTCTCACGAAACTCAAACTCGCTACAGGCGCTTAATTAACTAGACCGCTGAACCGGCATCCAACGGTGTTAATGTTTAACTTCAACCAATCCACGAAGTTGCGCCACCGTATACCATTGTCGCACACGAAACTGATAGGTCCTGGGTTCGAATCTCGCGAGGGGTGGGATCGTGGATGCACACTGTTGAAGAATCCCATACTAGGACGAAATGGCCGTCCAGTGCTTCCAGGTTTTTCATAGTAGTCTAGCTTTGAATTGAAACATGATTTGAACCAGTGAAATTTCTTAAATTTCCACAAAACCCCTTCTGAAGATAGACTATCATAGAAAACCTGGAAGCATTGGATGATTGTTTTGTCCTAATCAAAGGAATTCTCAACAGTGCACATTTATGATCATGCCTTGTAAGATTCATACTCCAGGATCTATTGACTTTTTTATTTGATACAGTTTTATATGTTGTAAATGTAAGAGCTAGTGAAACCATTTGATTCCTAAAACCGAAATAAATGAAACAGACTGTGAATCTGTGACTTATTGGTTGAATATAGAAATCAAGGTATCATTAAGTGATCACTCTATCACATGTGATTTGATTGACTTTAAAAGAAGAGAAAACACGACAAATTCTGAAGGTAGATAATGTTGAACTGATATCTCTGTGTTGGAATAAGCAAGAGATAACAGTTTAAGATTTTTATGCCAAGGTTATAAATCATAGTGTGATATGAATATTACTTAAATAAACCTCAATACAGTAATGTGTAATCATAATCCCTTCTGAAGTTTGATTAAGAAATCGGGTGGATCATTTAAAAGTGAGAACCAGGAAGTGATTTTATTGATGTGGATAAAATTTAGTAGGTTTAGAATTGTTGTGACACGCGTATTGAAGCATTTGACCTTGGTGTTGGTTGACAGTTGTTTTAAGTTTCAGATGTTGTTCATTTGTAGATATGCTACTCTTGTTTTACCGATCTGCGTCTTCACATCTGCATCAGATCCCTCGTGTTCATCAATGATGCTACCCAGATATGTAAACGTTTTTACATCTAAATATTCTCTATCAAGTGTGATAAAGCTAAGGTTAATTTTATGGATTTTTAAAACCAGAAATGAAACAATAAAGAGAAGATTGTGAGTGAAATAGTTACTAAGTCAGTATCTGGCAGATCACATGTTCCTTATAAAAACATGTCAAGTAAGGCTGCTCTTATATAACATAAACGTTTGCCATTATTTTGTTATAAAAATAAACAAAATCAAATGAATCAGTAAGAGTAGATGATAAACATTCAATGGCCTCTATTGTCAAACACATAGTTGAAACAAAAAAAAATAAGATTTATCTTAACTTGGCTTTTGTAATGTTGAGTAGAAAGTTTTCCAAGGTGTATAGTAAGCTTTATTGAAGTATTGGTCATACGAAAATTCAAACCCCTTTTTATGTATTCACAAAACAGTTTGTTCTCACTTTAAGCCTACTTACTTACTTACTTATGCCTGTTACTCCTTATAGAGGAGCATAGGCCTCTCACCAGTAATCTCCATCCAACCCTGTCTTGAGCTGTCCGTTCCAGCTCTTTCCCATTGCTATTCATTCTTTTTCATATCTGCTTCTAGTTACCAACGTAATGTTTTCTTTGGTCGAGAAACTCCGCCTGTAGCTCTTCTAGGGTTACTTGTGGTCCCAAGCCCGGGTAAAGGAGGGGGTTAGGCATGGGGTTAGTGACCACATCCCGTAGAAAACTAACTCGCTAAAAAAACACTAACCAGAAAAATTAATTCACTTTAAACCTACATTGGTAATATTGTTTCATTATCCAGCATGATGAGTTTCACATCATTTTCCTTATTATATTTGTTGCCTCCAATCTTCTATTTGTTTAGTTGACCTTTTAATCTATCGTACATAGATGTTCTTAACAAGTATATGTGTGTTTAGATAGTTCAAAATGTTGTGCGATGATACATCACGCAGTGCTGAGAATCTACTTCTTATTACACTATATAAAACTATTCTATTTATCACTCTGAAGGCAGTAACAGACTTTATGACATGTGTATTACTGTCCAGTCCTTTCTGGTTTACAATGGTCATCTAACTGGTTACATGTCCATGATGGAAACTGTTCTCAGATTATATGTTTTAGTACTCATGATACTAGTGCGAAAAAGTCTGTACTTAACCTTTGATTATCTACTCATTCTATATTAATAGCCTAGATTGGTTTCTTTTCACTTCAAAGTCAAGAAAGTTAAGTATTGTGATATTAAGAAAGATGAACGAATTAAAAAAAAAGTTTTACGATTGTGGTTGGAGTTAGTCAACACGAAACCCTAGACCTAGGTTTCGTGCTTCTTTGGACTCGTCAGCAAGGTGTACCTGTAATCGTGAGGAAATTGATTCTCCAGGCCACTAGTCTCGGTGACTCGACATTGCGTTCACTATGTTGAGATAAGATGGTGGTTGGACGTAGTCAACAGGAAATCCTGAACCTAAATGGCTCAGTGGTAACGTCTCTAACTGTAAATCTGGGTGATATGGGGTCAAATCCGTTAGGGAGTATCAGTCCCCTCAAGATTACAGGTACACCTTACTGACGAGTGCCAAATAGCACGAAACCTAGTTCCAGGGTTTTTGCTGACTACTTCCAACCACCATCTTATCTTAACATAGTGAACGCAATCCCGAGACACTTAAACTGGTAGCCACATTGCAACTTGGTCAATAAGATTCAATCTGAACTAAGAAGAACCTGATATACATAACATTGATCACCACCCAGTGATCAATCAATTGTAAAGAAAACGGTTTCTTATTTGTTTTCAACTTGAAGATTACGGTAATAATATGTAATCTATTAACTGATGAATTACTGATGGTCAGGAAATCTTTGTTTGGATATTATTCTTCGGCAAGTTTAAGGTTCAATCTTTTTTAGTTTCATAGGATAATCTTAAACTTACTAGAGAAAAAAAAACGAATACCCAGTATTCCACCGTATTTGTCTTGGGAATAAAAGAACAGTTGACTATGTGTAAAATTCATTCCATTTAGTTACGATGGTAAAATAACATTTCAAATTTTCCGTCAGATAATCAATATTAGTCACATGATAGTGGAATCACCACAGAAATTAGTCATATTTATATACATATGTACGTTTATACACCATAGGTTGATAGCTGTCACAAGAGATTAATATCAGCGTTAGCCTAAAATCTCAACAGGAAATGAAAAAAACAAACACTGGTAGACAACAACACTACACATTTTCTCTCTATCCCCTTAATAGTGATGGCTAGAATAGTCTTATTAGTAGTATTGTTAGTAGTACTAGTAGTAGTATTAGTACACTAGGTGAAAAAGTAAAGAAAAGTTTTAAAAAAGAAGTAAAACAAGCTTTGTTTATTGACTGAACAAAAAATGTCATCAATGAATGACACAATGATAGAAAGCTTATTATATATAACTGACCTAATAGTGACCTAGAAATATATCGATTAAGAGTAATAATAATAATACTAATAATTATTATCAGAATGGGTTTTGTGGAGATTTTTAGAAATTTCACTGGTTGAAATCATGAGTCAATTGAAGCTAGACCACTATGGAAAACCTGGAGGCAGTGGACGGCCGTTTCGTTCTAGTATGGGACTCCTCGACAGTGCGCATCCACGACCCCGGACTCCACGAGATTCGAACCCAGGACCTATCAGTTAGCGTCAGGCATTAACCAACTAAACCACTGAGCCGGCATCTAACCGTGTTAATGTCTAATTTCAATCAATCCACGATGTTGCGCCACCGTACACGATTGTCTTCAGTGAGTTCCTATCTCATACTAGAACGAAACAGCCGTCCAATGCTTCCAGGTTTTCCATGGTGTTCTAGCTTCAATCGACTCATGATTTCAACCAGTGGAATGCTAATAATTGTCTTTAAAGTAAGCTATTTTAATATTGATATTTAAATCTATGGGAAACCGTCGTAGTTAGGACCATAAGAAATATAGGATGAAAGCCGATTTCCTATTCGTCAGATGATATTAATTCTTTTCAAAGAATTTCCTAGAAAAATTTATTAGTGAATAAGGATGGTCCAAAATCAGTGATTTATAACTCAGGTGGATGATTTTGATGGAGCTTGGTTATCATGACAAAATCATCGGATTCGGTTCCGTGTTACGCAGCTTCACAGTTAGAGAGAGACGTTACCGCTAAGTTATCCAGGTCGAAGATTTCCTATTGGTCGTCACGACTAAACCATCTAGCTCAGAGAACAAAACTCCATCAAAATATGTATATTGAATTAAAATTGTTATATATGCACTATATAGTGAATAAATATATGTTTTTTCAGGGATAAAATAGTAAGAAATAGCAAAAAGGAGTTCTAGTGAGGAATCGTAATTAGTGGAGTTAAGTCATGTCTAGTGTGAGGTATGTATCGTTTAAATTGTATTGAAAAGTGGTTGCGTGACACTATGAACTGACTGAAGTTAGGAATGTAAATCTTTGGATATTTAGTCATTTGAATGTCAAAACACTCTCCATGAAACCTCAAACTTATGAATTCGAATTTGGTAAACTAGCATATGCTCACTGATCGGAAATACCATACTAAGATAAAGACAGTTGTCAAGAGCTCCCTAGTTACCGCTGGTTATTTAATTTACGCCAACTAGTGATGGAAAATAAAAGACTTAACAGTCTACACAAATCCTTATTCCTAATTGGTAGGTGTATGCGGATGGAGTCAGTATTGTATCTGGTGTAGTGACGGAGAGTTCGGGAATTTGGAGAGATGTGTTTTTTATAAAGCATTTCTTAATGCTCTCTGAGAGTTTCGTGGTTCTCACTCAGCAAGTTTGACAGAGTAATTTAGAAGCATATAAAGTTTCA